TGGTTACGAGGTCGGTCAAATCAACCAAACCCATAGAGATACAATAGTGAAAATAACAAATAAAAAGTTTTTTAAAAAAAATCTGACAATTATCTGAAAGTTATAAAGATTTCACATGTGAAATTAGAAAATTTTCTGATGCATAAAAGTATTTTAAATCATAAAATCAAAATTACTTTGCATGTTATACAGTTAACAATTGAAAAAAAATGCATGAGAAAAACATTTATTTAAAAATCTTAAAACTTAATAAAAAATTTATATTTTTTTGTATGATAGTCTTGTAATGTTTACTGATAATCTGCAAAATTTTGTGAAAATATGCTTATTGTATTAAAATTTATAGCATGAAAACTATTACAAGCACAAAATGGTTACAAGGTCAGTCCTTGATACTGAGCCCATAGTGAAAGAGTTAAGGTAATCAACAGTACTGGAGCTATTTTTTCATTATGTATACATACATATAACTTTTTAATTCTCACTCATGTTGTATCAAGCATTTATAAACATTTTCACACACAATTACTTGTTATAGTGTCATGTGACCTTTGAAATAGTACCTTTTTGTTTATTGTTCAGCTACAGATATCTGAAAAGGATCATTGCCCAAAACATTGCATCAGCAAACGTATATATTAAGAAATATATACATCTGTTAATATTACCTTGTTGTTTTCAATGGTTTAACCTGCAAAATACTCTATATTTTCCATTCAACAACCACCTTGCATAATTTCATACATACTCCTGTTGTGGTACATAAAGAATCATAATACAAAGTTTACAAACCACAGCTTAAAGAATTTTTAGTATTTTCTTTATATGTTCTTTATGTTCCTGATAATTTTTTGATATTAAATTACACCTATTTGAAACCTACAGGATTATTCTTCTATTATAGGATATCAAATGTATTTAGTCAAGCTTAGCAAATACGGTAAGTGAAAACAAACTATATGGATGACTCAAATCCTTCTTTATTTCACAAATTTAAAGTATTTAAACAACATAATAAAAAATTAATATTTATCAAAAACAATCTATACTTATTAGATATAAACTAATAAAGACCAAGAAAATTGTTAGTAAAAATCATGATGCAATACTTGACAAAGATAACACCATTCTGAAAGGTGAGTTCCTAAGTCACATGTAAATTTTTGTCAGTTTTTGCTGGATTTTGTTTGTTTATAGCCACAAGTGGTGAACGTTTTAACTAGCAAAATAAAGCATCAAAAGAAATGTATTAATTCTTTCAGAATGGGCATCATTTTGTGTACATGTCAGGAAGTTTTAGTGGGTTACATT